GAACCACAGACAAATCCGTCCAGCCGATCGCGAGAAACAGCTGCTGACAGAAATGTTTCGAACCATAGTAAAACCTCCTCGCGGAAGGATATCTCCTTCCCCGGAGGTAAAAACGTAAGTGTGCCGTCGCCATGTCTTGTAATAAATGTTGGAATAGAAAAAATATCCCGCATGATGAAAGTACATGTATACAAAAGCATCCCAAGCAAGATAGGATACCCTGTCTAGCGTAGCAAGAAATGGAAAGGTACAAATGTGTAGATTCTGTCAACCATCTTTACCGTTTTACCGGTTGTAACACAGAGTGCGAAACGTTCATGAACAGTAACAAACCTTTTCTAACTCAAAGAAAGATGTTAATTAATGTCGGTGTGTTCAAACCATTTTTTGGCAACTAGCGATGGAGCGCCGTGAGTTCTCGTGCCTGAGAATTCTAGAAAGCGTCTCAAGTTAGGGCATGCCCGTTTTTAATTGGGGTATAACAAAATCAAAAAGGAGTGAAAACTAGACAAGAGAGACAGGAGGTTTTTTAACTATTTTCTTTTTTTTTCAACTTTTCGATGTGACAGAGACATAGACAAAGGAAGGGGAATAGAAAAAGGATGTGCCAAGCTACCCACGACAGGTTACTGTCCAAGTGCTCCCACCAACCCACTCCTGCCAACTTGACACATCAAAATAAAATACTGACATAAAAGACAGACATTTCACAACAAAAAACTGATACGACTAGAAGGGAAAGGGGGATTAAAACCGCAGGCGTAGTTTTCCCCCTACGACCTTCGCCCAACGTACTGTAGAGCACCACTGTGCTAGGAAGGCTGCCTCACCGAGACGTACGAAGTCTAGCTTCAGTCTTGAGCGGAGGCACTCCTTGATGTACGGCACTATCTCAACGTGGGTTATAAACGTTTTGTCAAAGAGTGCCTCACATCTCGAGGACCAAGGGCATGCCCCGTTATTCTTAGGGCACAGTTACACCGATGCCCGTACGGGGCTTTGCCGGTGTGTGTCCAGACCAGATGGGAGGACACCGGCTGTCGTGGTCATCGGGACGTAAAACTGGTTAATTTTATGGATGACATCCTCTGAAGACCCCCAAACTAGTGCGCGCGGGCGAATAAAAAAGTTCCAGCCAAAAAACGCTGCTAAAAAAACCCCCAAAGGCTGGTATGGTATTGTGCATACAATACAAAGTTGTAACAAAATTACGGTGTAACACTATCTGTATCTGTGTTTCCTTACTCATCAAGTAGTGCCACGAAGCTGGGACTGTCGGGGTGTTGGTAGGAGAGCAGCACGTCGTACGGAGCGATGTGAGCGGAGTCCAGGCCCTGGTTCTCCCACGTCAGTCTCA